CTTTGCAATAAGTACAAAGTTTGGAACTAAGTCACTATCGATTTCTTTACAGTCTTTTTGTTTTTGGCTAACGATTTCTTTACACTCTTTACAATCAAGGCATCCTTTACAATGATGAAGCTTCAAGGCATGTGCATGAGATCGGTTAGGCTGCAATGGTTGAGCTGTTGAAGAGCTCTGTTTGGTCGCGCAAGCCTGAGTTGGCCATGCTTGAAAGCAACCTGACAGATTTGATGTGTAAATGTGATGTGAACACCACTTTCTTCCAAAATGTACTTCCCGGACAAACTTATATAACACAATATGAATGGAACGATGAGATGACCTGCAGAGTGTAGACATGAGACATCTCCCACTATCCCTGGGCTCTCTTCATCAAGAATAATTTCCTGATGATTATTATTCAGGATGTAATATAATTTTAAGAAGTGGGCATTTCAAATACAAAACACGTTTTGCTCTTTTGGATCGTAGAATAAGTAACCCATAGAGCCATTGGGGTAGCCTATAAATAGGTAACAATTGGTCTTGGATTCTAATTTGTCAGCACTAGTTCTTTTAACATGTGCTAGACAACCCAAAATTTTCAAGTGTCTCACACTTGGTTTCTTACCAGTCCAATGCTCATAGGGAGTCTTCGGAATGGATTTGGTTGGAACTCAATTCAGCACATATATCGCAGTCTTTAATGCGTAACCCCAAACGGATGTGGGTAGTTCTGAGTGTATGAGAAGTGATCAGACCACATCCAATAAAGTCCGGTTCCTCCTTTCTGACACACCGTTTAACTGTGGTGTAGCAGGAGGAGCTAGTTGTGATACTATCCCATTGTCCTTTAAGTAGTCACTGAATTCATTATAGAGATACTCGCCACCTCGATCTGATCGAAGGGTCTTAATTTCTTTCCCTAACTGTTTCTCGACTTCTTGTCTGAATTCTTTGAACTTTTCAAAAGATTCAGACTTATGTCTCATTAGGTACACGTAACGATACCGTGAGTAATCATCGGTAAAGGTTATAAAATAAACATGCTGATTATGTGTCCTAATATTCAGGGGACCACATACATCAGTATGTATAAGGTCAAGTGTGCCTGTAGACCTTTCAGGCTTTCCCGTAAATGGCCGTTTCGTCATCTTACCCTGAAGGCAAGTTCACAAGTTGGAAGATCTTCTACGGTTAGAAAATCTAAAGGACCATCCGTTACCAAACTTGTGATACGATCTATGTTAATGTGGTCAAGTCGGTAATGTCACAGGCATGTGGGATTAACTGTATCACGAGTCCTCTTCTTGGGGATTATTTCTGACGTAGTTTTGGTAATGTTTGCTTCTAGAGAAGGATGCTTAATGGAGGGATAAAAAAACTTCATAGATCTAATTTAGGTGAAACCAAAGTGGCTCCTATTGGCTTTCATAAAGCTAGATTTAGATGGGCCCTAAACAGTTAGGGTTCCGCATGGTTCCTCTTGGGGAGGAAGCTGGAGTGGGGCCCACCACGTAGGGATATCATCCAATGATCTTAAGGACACCATGACAATTATGTGCATTCAGCCATGGTGTGCGTAAGAGCCACTATCGAAACAGCATGGGCCAATTGCTTATGGCCCATGAACGTAGCACATCACACATCCATACATCACATGCATGAAATCCATAATTGATCCAATCAATTAAATAACTGTAAAACCCATATATAAAGCCCATTTAATTTCATAATATTACCAATTAATATTATCTAGGTATATGGGCGGAACTACAAAGAGCAGTTCGGCCCATATAGCATTTATGCTAAATTGGGCTAAAGCAGTTTTAATAGATTAAAACTGGATTTTACAGATGTGGGCCGAATTGCATCTTGCAATTAACCATCAATCACTCGGCCCATATAGAAAATTTTAGGGCTGAGAACAACCCCTTATCGAACCACAGATTCGGTCCAACCAGTTTGGTCCAATCTAGTTCGAATGAGTCTAGGGTTTGATGTTTAATTCAAGATTCAATTCAAGAAGATGATCTGAAATTAAACAACTGATGCATGACAATCAAGAATCAATAAGAGGGTTGTTTGTAAGATTGCTACCCTACAAAACAAATATTTGTTCGCAGTATGCAGTTTCCAAAACTGCAAATCACAGATTGCTGAACCCGAATCTGTGAAATTCTCTCCTTTGCACTTTCTGCTTCGTCTTCGAATGAAACAAAATAGAAAACCTAATTTTTCTATTATTATTACATCAGATTTGAATTTCTATACATTCCGTCTAAAAATTAAAAAAATAAAATTAATTACAAACCAAGAATGAATAGAATAAATAAGTAGGTGCGCAGATTTCTTACGCCAATAAAAGAATTAGGTCTCCACCATACGAACAATTCATAATCCAAGAAAAATATATAGAACAATTCTAAATACAAATCAGATTAATAAAGATTTAATTTCAGATCATTCACCCAAAAACTAGGAACTGATTTCCCAGAAAAACGTTAACTGCGCAAATCGGGTAGAACGCCTTCTGCCCATTTTTGCAAATCCAGATTTTGTTTAATTCGGTTCAAGATTTGAACYTGACTCTGATACCATTCTGAAGGGATGAGAGATCCATCATATGGATGGCCGAACCCTGCAGGAAGGTTGGGCGAAATTTCAAAAATTTCTCTCTCCCATTTGGGAATTGCATTCCCTATTTTAGAAAATTGCATTTTCAAGGATCAATTTTGAACCAAATCGGAAACCAAAAGGGAGGACAAAGATATACCTGATACGGAGTAGCAGTAACTCCCAATGAAGGTGTTCATGCCGAAGGAGAAATCCAAAAACTGCTTCCACTGAATATGACACAGTGTGAGGTGAAACAGGATCAGTAGGATGACTCTTCAGCAAGAATGGGGTAGAGGGCTGGTGAGCATGACTTCAAATTGCCTCTTCTGCCAAGAAGCAATATCAAGAACAATTCTTAATCACTCCCACAAGTGAAGATCGAACTGGGTAGGGGCGGCTAGAACAAGGGAGAACTCTATAGACTGTTGTAATGTTTGTTGTGTGTTTTGCATGTCTGCCATGCTCTCTTATTTATAACCTTAAAGAGACAACCTCTTAATCTGATTAGGAGTTTCCTGATGCAAATCTTTATTTGGATATTGACTATTTAAGTGATAAGGATAATCCCTTATCTTATCAATAGTTTAAGATCAGCTTAATTCTAATCAAATTAGGAGTTTCCTGATCCAAATCTTTATTTTGATCTAAACTCTTTAAGTGGATAAGACTTATCCTCTTATCCTTATTTGCTGATTCAAACCCAGATTTTCCCCTATTTAATTAATCTAATTAACCCAGTTTGAATTGGGCTTTAAGCCCATTAAGTTTATGTATTCACTTAACCTCTTAACCTGCTGCTAGTTGGCTCTCCTTGTATGACGTGGGACCTAAATATTGATCTACACATCAGCCACATGGGTTCAGCCCAGCCTTTGTTACAAGGCTTGGCCGAATTCACTGTAAGAGACAGTGAACCCTTGAGTCCATCACCATGGGCTTTTAATGGGCCCAACATTTACATTAAATGGTCATTGGGTCCAGCCACCTTATGAAAACCCAAGAACTGTGGGCAGATGCAAGATTAGCCCATCAGGTATTACCCTTAATGGTTTTACACTTAACCTCTCAGCACATAATGATCAAACACTACCCGATAAGAGAGGACCTTGTCGGACAAAGGGGCTGATCCTATCACTATGATCACCCACTCAGATGAATTCTCGGACTGTCCCAACAAACCTAGGTTTTGACCCCCTCTAAGGATCTCACTGATTGGCATATCAAAGACAGTCCAATCCGACACCTAGTGCAGTACCATAATTGAGTCTAGGGGTAAGGTGTAACATTTCAGTTTTGCCCATCTATCTCGAAGGTCTAGGGTAATACCAGAATTTCGGTCTGGTTCAGGTCTTCAAGAAACCCAACTGCATGTACCTCAGGTCTCACCCTAGCAGATGAGACAAACCACCCCAACCAACTTGGCGGTACATCAGTGACAGTTTTGGCAGGATAAATCTCCCTAGATCTATCCAACGGCTATAAAGATTCTAAAGTAACACGAGTCTCATAAGTGTCCAGTTTAAGGGTATTACACAGAAACACACAACAATGACATGAATCAATTATGTACTTTATTCATTTACAATAAATGTCAAAAGGTACATTAATTTGATTGGAGTTAAGGGCATAACTGTCTAATAGTACATACATACATATAAGTGGGAATCTCCACAAGGTCCAAGTCTAATTTCATACGGGGTCTAAATTTTTAGAAGGGATGGTTCTCTAAGAAGAGATGGCAAAAGAATTGGAAGGTTTGCCAGCAAATTACTAGGATATAAATTTATCTAACAATAATAAAAATTAAGTAAAACTGATTTTATTAATTGAAATTAATAAAATAAAATGATTTAAATTCTAATTAAAATAATAAAAACATATCTTGCAATTAATAAAAATAAATTTATCCATAAATTTTACTAAAAATTAAAATCCATTTAGAACTAAATATCGATGAAATTAATAAATATTACTAATTAATTAAAACATTCAAAGTTTAAGATAAACATTATTGATTGTAAATTTAATTGTTATTAATTTAAAGTTCATTTGAATTTTATTTTAAAATTATAAAAGCAAATAAAATCAATACAACAGTTGTCTAAAAATAACTATTAAAATATAATTATTAATAGAAATTAATAGCTAGTAAGAGTAAATAAAACAATTATATGAATTCTCTTTTTACAAAACTCCTTTTTCTCCTTTACTAACGGACAAGTTTGCAAATTCTCCAATTAAAGTATTAATTAGTTATACAGAGGATCTTGATGGAATCACACCTTTGTTTTTTTTTTTTTTTTTTTGAGGAAAGAAGGCTAGGCCACTTTCTTCTCGTTTGTACCTTGAAATCAAAATTTCGAAAATTATGGATTCAACTAATGTCAACGACTCCACGAGAGAAGAAGGTCAATTCACAGGGAGGAAATGCATGGTTTTATTCTATTTTGGCCATATTTTGCATAGCTGCATTGATTGTTTTCTTTTGGGTCTTCTTTCTTTCTTTTGCACCGCTACAAATTGGAAGAGATTTTTCAAAGTTTGCAACAAAGTCACTATCGATTTCTTTACAGTCTTTTTGTTTTTGGCTAACGCTTTCTTTACACTCTTTACAGTCAAGGCATCCTTTACGATGATGAAGCTTCAACGCATGTGCATGAGATTAGTTAGGCTGCAGTGGTTGAACTGTTGAAGAACTCTGTTTGGTCGCGCATGCCTGAAATGGCCATGCTTAAAAGCAATCTGACATGATTTGATGTGTAAACGTGATGTGAACACTACTTTCTTCTGAAATGTACTTCCCAGASAAACTTTATCTAACACGATATGATTGGAACGATGAGACCTGCAGAGTGCAGACACGAGACATCCTCCTCTGCTTTTTTTTTTTTTTTATTTATTTTTCTCTCTCTGCCGACTATAACATCCAAGTCGAACACCTTCAAACAATTTCCTCTAACTATCAAACCTCTGTATCCTCGACGACCCGGATTGATAACCCATCTTCTTGAGGAGAAATATTAGCTGGGTGTAAAGATCAAGCCTCAGTAACTGCTGCAATGGCCCAGATTGAGAACCCATCATGTCAAAGAGAAATATTGGCCACCAATCCAAAATGCTCGAGCTGTAACTGGTTTTCTCCGGAGACGGGTATCTACATCAGCAAGCACAGATCTAGACAGCTTCCTTCAAACCCATTTCTTGATGTTGTGTCCTTCATTTTCTCACACAGTCACAAAGGGGTCTCAGCTCTTATAGATTCCTCATCTGGGTTTTCCATTTCTTATTCGAAACTGCAGCAAATGGTGAAATCCATGGGTTCTGGTCTCCATGAGATTGGGGTTTCTCAAGGGGAGGTTGTTTTGATTCTATTACCTAATACCATTTATTATCCTGTTGTTTTCTTGGGTGTTTTGTCCATTGGCGCAATCGCCACCTCCATGAATCCTCTCAGTAGCCCTGCAGAAATTAAGAAACGAATAAGTGATTGCAATGTAGTTCTTGCTTTTGCCACATCTGGTAGAGTCGGGGAAATTGAGAAGATGGGTGTTCATGTTGTTGAAGTACGGGAGAATGCAGCCTCTGATTCAAGTTGGTCTGAGTTTTCCTGTTTCAATAAGCTTCTTTTGAGTGATCCCAATTCCTCACATAGAGCTATAATTAATCAAAAAGACACAGCAGCAATTCTTTATTCGTCAGGAACTTCTGGTGTTAGTAAAGGGGTTGTTTTAACACACATGAATTTTATAGCCATGGTTGAGCTTTTTGTCCGATTCGAAGCTTCACAGTATGAGAGCCTGGCTTCAGACAATGTCTATTTGGCCACAGTGCCCATGTTTCATGTTTATGGCCTTTCTCTCTTCGCCATGGGACTGTTGTCTTTGGGATCCGCAATTGTAGTAATGAGGAAATTCGATGTGGATGAAATGGTCAGAGCTATTGATAGGTATAAGATAACACATTTACCGGTTGTTTCACCAATACTAATGGCCTTGGCGAGAGTGAAGAGTTCGAGTGACTGTAGCCTGAGAAGTTTGAAACAAGTTTCATTTGGAGCCGCGCCTACAAGCAAGAAAATCATTCTGGACTTCCTCCAGAGATTCCCTCAAGTAGATCTTATCCAGGTTTGTGGGCTCACTTTATCTTTTGAATGTAGTTGGTTTATTTTAAACTGAAAGATGAACTCATTTCCATGGGGTTTAGCATTTAAGTGAAGTTTCTAGTTTTAATATTCAACCCTTGGTTCAAATATAGTAAAATCTTGGTACTTCTAGGTGCTCTGGGTTATGCATTTGTGGTAGGGAAAGTACCTTATTAGAAGAGTTTCCAATAGAAAGTGGGGCAACTTGCAGACCTCAATTAACTATCCTCATTCCCCAATGGATACCTACTGATGTAAGATGGGGTAGGGTTCCTATGAAAAATATACTTTCTTGCTGTCCACTAGGGATTGTGCAAGAAACTAGAGGAGAGAGGGAGGGAAGGGGAGGGGGGAGAGAAATTTCTGGTAACAGCCAGAATTCAATAAACTAAAACTTATTTCATCAAATCAACTCTTCTTGAACTCCAATTGTATTGACTCTATTTATAGACTCAACTTATATACTCAGCTGTACAGAGTTTAATTTGGACTAGGAAACTGACCTAAAACAACTTTTATTTGTTCTAAAACTAAGACAAATCCTTAGGTGATCCATAAGGACACAACAAGGACTCAACTCCTAAACAACTCTAATAACGCTTTCCTAGTCCTACTAAAACCAATTTAATGTAAAGACACCAGAAATTACTAAAAATAATCACAAGAATCACTATACATGGTAAATTTGGAAGTTACAATAAATAGTAATTTCAAAACAGCAGCAAAAAAAAAAAAAAAAAAACAGAACCATGTTCTTAAGATTCTGAAATTGGTGTAGAAATTGGAAAACTGATTTCATTCTCCATGGATTCTTTCCTAGCTTCTGTATCTACATTACCTACTTGATCTCTGGACTAGTCCTCCAAATTGATCTTCTTTTAACAACAAAATTGGTGTTTATCTTGTTCTTTCTTGTTTCTTCTTCAATTTACTTTATCAGTGTCCTTCAACTTTTACACTTCAAGTTATTTAGTTTGTTATTGGCTTCTACATGCTGATTTCATTAATCATGAAATTTTGTTCTTTTGTGAATTCTATCATTTTCAGGGTTATGGAATGACTGAGACAGCTGCAGTAGGAACTCGTGGCTTCAATACCGAGAAAATTAGAAAGTATACTTCAATTGGACTGTTAGCTCCAAACATGCAAGCTAAAGTGGTAAATTGGATCACTGGTTCCTGCTTGCCACCAGGTGAGACCGGTGAACTATGGTTACGTGGACCTGCTATTATGAAAGGTAAAACACAGGTCTTCACACAATCCTCTTTGCTACCACCCTCCTTTCAAATATGGGAATGCCTAATTTCATCTTCATGAGCATTTGGATTCTCAGAGGATGGATTTGGTTCTTTTTTATTTTTTCTTGGATATTACCTCCTTCATCTCATTTATTATAATCCAAACAGCAGTATTCTGTTTTAATGTTCATCACCCACTAAAGCACCTAGAAAGCCCATTACCCAATGTTGATCCCAACTATCTGGGGTCTTGGGAGGGATATACTGGATGCAGTCCTAAAATTTGGCATTTTTTTCTTTTTTACACAAAGTGGTCACTCTCAGAATTGAACCCACGTTCTCATACTTGCTAGCCTGATATTTTACTCTTACACCAAGTAATGGCCCCTCACTAAAACACCTAAATACTGAAGACTAAAATGATTACCTCATTTTGGTTGTAGTCCTGTCCGTCCACTTGATCTCTGTGGCAGTTATACATGATGATTTATCACTTTTCTGATTCTATTGAAGCATATCACTGTTCCATATGAAATTTCAGGGTACTTGAACAATGCTGAAGCAACATCATCTACAATTGATAGAGATGGTTGGCTGCATACAGGAGATATAGCCCACTTTGATCAGGATGGCTACTTGTATATATTGGATCGATTGAAAGAGATGATCAAATACAAGGGGTATCAGGTAAAGAAACACCATTCATGAGATTTCCAATTTTCCAGAGTTAATGATCAACTGAAACAAGTTATTCAACTTCTTTGTCCATTTTAATATACACATAAAGAATTTAAGTTTATAAATCGTTGCATTACTTGACCCAAAGCAATAGTAGCATGATGTGTTGAGGTACATGATTTTCAAATCTGTTAGGCTACCCACGGGAAAAGCCTCTGCTGTAACAGGACTTTGAGAACTTGATCCATGCAGGATTCCTCTGAGCATTAATAGTACAAGTTAATTCTATTAGTAGATCAACTGAAATTCTATGTTACCAACGTTCATCTCCCAATTTCTGGAGGATCTTATATGTGAAGTCAAGTTCTAACAAGGTTTTAGAAGCAATATGGAGCTAAACCCAGTCATAATGGTGATGAGACGAGGGAGTTTAGTTATACAATATAATTCTCTCCTCTCTAGTAATGTATATGTAAACTGATCTGTATCATTTCCTTTACCATGCTACTTAATATGGTAGCAGCCAGGTAGACTTGCATGCTCCCCTGCAGTAAAATGTCTAGGTATGGTAAATTTTCTTGTTGACAAGATGTTGCTTGCAGATTGCTCCTGCTGATTTAGAGGCTGTATTATTTTCTCATCCTGAGATACTTGATGTTGCTGTAGCTGCGTAAGTATTAGTTTTTTATGAACTTGGTTGGATATATCCCTGTCAAACCATTAGCTGAAATGTTTATTTTGGCTACTTGTATAAATGGAAATTTCATATCATCTTTTGCCATGCCATGTTTCTTTCAGAGTAATAGATGAAGAAGCTGGGGAATTACCAGTTGCTTTTGTGGTAAAGAGGCCTGGAAGTGCACTTTCCCAAGCAGATGTGATCGACTATGTAGCTCAACAGGTGATTTCTGTTCAGCTTAATGAGGCTTTGTTTCATCGGGTTTTTAATTGTTCATTTTAAGCTTTAAACCGCGTAAAAGGAAACTCGATATAAGAAAGAGTCACATTTTAACCGGTTATGCATTATCAGAACCTAGGTCAATTTAGATTGATGTCTTTTGTCATGAGCTCATTCAGGGACATGTATTTTCAAGTTCAATTTGTTGCATCTTCTCTGAATGTATTTTTTTTTTCTGGAGAATCTAGTAGGTTCTATTTTAAAGCTAACTCAATATAAGAAAAGAATCATTCAACGGAGATCCCCATTGAATGTCCTAACCCCATTGATACTTGTACTGGATTTCTGTTACCCATGAATGATTTGATGTCATATGAACTCATTTTTTAAAATAGTATATTTCAATGTTGTCAGAATCAGATTGGACAAAGAATTGTTTTAGTTGAATTGGTTTCTATACTGGCTAATTTTGACATGCCTCTGTTTTCAGGTTGCACCTTACAAAAAAGTAAGGAAGGTGGTGTTCACCTCCTCCATTCCCAAATCTGCAGCGGGAAAGATCCTCCGAAGAAGGCTTAGCAACTCCATTTCTAACTTGAAATCTAGAATATAGGGGTTGAAAGTAAAATTTGAGATGGTCATTTGGAAATTAGATGCTAAGGCTTAAAGATATGCTTTATATATATATATATATCTATATATATATTCATGAATGTTATACTTTTAATAAAGAGCCCTGGGCTCCAAGTTTTATATACAAGGTATTTTTAATTCATTTTATTAATAATATATAATATTTTGATCATTTTTAGTTTGTTAATGCTACTCAAAATCCAAATTGCAATCCAAATTCAATTTGAATCTAATATAAAATTGAAGGATAAGATTTGATCCAAAGTCCGAAAGTCAAAGTTGGATCTAGGTGCATCCGATGATCCTTTTGCTGCAGCAGTTCAGGTTTTATTTTATTTATTTATTTATTTTGGGGGTGTTACATGTAGGGGTGCAACGTGGGCATTGTCAAAATTTTAATGGGCCTGAGAGGAGGCCCAAGCCTGAATAGTGTAAAATGTTAAATCGGGCAAACCCGAGTTTCACCCCTAATTACAAAAGAATTAGGGGACAAAGGTCAATCACCATCTCATCTACTGGGTGTTAGCTGGAGGGAGACCGAGCCTACCACCATCAGTTGAATGTGTGCCCATTTGAGAGGGCTTAGCGGCTTCTGGCTTTTCGAGTTTAGCCTTACAAAGACACAAGTTACATTTTGGGGGCGTTCTTTTTTTTGGATTTTGAGAGAGAGAAAAGTTGGTCAATGGGATTTTAATTCTCATTGATCAAGAAATCCATGTTCATTTTTCAGATTTAYGTGCAGACCAGTGAATGTTTATTTTCTTGGGTATTGCTTTATCCGGGTAAGTGATACCTATCTCCTAAGTGGGTAAATTAACTTTTCCATCTAAGGGAAAATTGCCAATAATTAGATGGGACAAAAATGCCCCTTTTAATTATGCAATTTTTATGACTAAGATRGTTATTGCATTGTTTACATRAGAAATAAAAGAATATGGATAAATGCACTTACCTGTAAGCCTTTCTTGGGAAACMCTTACCCAGGTATGTGCATTTACCCAGGTAAGTGACTTACCAAAGAGCCAATGGGCATTAGTAAAAAATCTAGGGAGACCAAATGGATTGTCAGTCAGTCGGTCATTCATTTGAAGGGCTGTTTGCTTCAGCCTCCATGAAAAGCTTAATGTGGAGTGCTTCAAAACAGCTAAACCAGCTTAGCTGAATCTTCGGCTCATCCCTTTGAAATGGCCCTGTGTATATAAAGTTGCATGTAGTATTCCGAATCGGTTGTCTAAGCAGCAGCCTTGCCCTCTCTGAACASAAGTGCTTATTTTTTCAATTACAGAGTTGTTGCACGCAATACGTCATAACATTACGAAAAAAAATGAAAGCCAAACATTTCAATTACTGGGTTGTTAATTGATTTGGGAAACTAAATTAGGTTAAATAAAACCTAATTAAGGACCTATTATCTCAGAAGCATTTGAGCTTGGTTTTTCTTTGATTTAGAAAGCTAAATAAGATTTGGTTTGTGATTAAAGGATCTAAGCTATATAACTTGAATTAGAAAACAAAACAAAACGTTTGTAGATCTATATCTATATGGGATCTAGAAAAAGAAATCTCTTGTGTGAGGGCAAAACCCTTTTAGACTATTGCTCAGTGGATGTCTAAGATTCTGGGATAAACTTGAGAAGAAAACAACTTTGAACTTTGGTGTGATATTTACATATTCTAATTGAATTTATATGGAAAATGGTATGTTGGGAGATTGCTGGATGAAGTCAGATTTTACTCTTTTAGGAAGCTTTCTTTCTCAGTTGTTAGCCAGAAGAAAAGAAAATACTAAACTGGGTTTTTTCATCATCTCTCTTACAGTATCTCAAATGTGGCAAAGTTTCATTAATGCACTAGGGCTATAATGACTCGTATGGGGACTATAATTAGATTGCATATCCACTCTCCAACTACAAAGAACGAGATGGGGAATCCAACTTTTCCATTACTCTCCATACTTTCAATYCTCCTGCTCTATTTCTCAGTTTCATGGGCAGCCTCAGATTCAATCCATGAAAGCTTTCTCCATTGTCTTTCTCTTCAATCTGATCCTTCCCTTCCAATCTCCACTGTAGTCTACACACCCAACAGTTCTTCATATTCATCCATATTTGAATCTAACATAGGAAACATCAGATTCTTGTCAGCCAATTCCCTCAAGCCTCAGTTCATCATTACACCTCTGACTGAATCCCACGTCCAAGCAGCTGTTATTTGCTCTAGAATACATGACCTGCAGATCAGATCCCGAAGTGGGGGCCATGATTACGAGGGCCTCTCCTATGTATCTGAAATCCCATTTGTCATTGTTGACATGGCCAACCTTCGATCAATACATGTCGACATAGAGGATAACAGTGCATGGGTTCAGGCTGATGCAACCATTGGTGAAGTATATTACAAAATTGCAGAGAAGAGTAGGATCCATGGCTTCCCATCTGGGTTTTGCCCAAGTGTCGCCGCTGCTGGACACTTCAGTGGAGGTGGATACGGTACCCTGATGAGAAAGTTTGGCCTCTCTGCAGACAATATTGTAGATGCTTACTTGGTTGATGTCCGTGGCAGAATACTCAACAGAGAATCCATGGGAGAAGATCTGTTTTGGGCCATTAGAGGAGGTGGAGGAGCAAGCTATGGAATCATTCTTTCATGGAAAATCAGGCTGGTTCCTGTTCCACCAACTGTGACCGTTTTCACAGTGTCGAAAACCATAGAAGAAGGTGCAACCGAGCTTGTCAATCGGTGGCAATACATTGCAGATAAGGTTCATGAAGATCTCTTCATTAGAGTGATCCTAATTCTGGTGAATTCTGGCCAAAGCGGGAGGAAAACAGGCCAAGCTCAGTTCAATTCCTTGTTCCTTGGTGGTGTAGACAAACTTCTCCCTTTGATGAATGAGAGCTTCCCCGAGTTGGGTCTGAAGCGAAGCGACTGCATAGAAATGAGTTGGATTGAATCAACTGTCTACTTCTCTGGATCCTCAAATCTATCTCTGGAAGTATTGCTTGATAGGCGTCCTCAGAGCAAACGAATGTTCAAGGCAAAATCTGACTATGTTAAGGAACCCATTCCTGAAATTGGGATAATGGGTATATGGAAAAGGTTTCACCAAGTGGAGGATCCTGTGATGATCCTCAATCCATATGGTGGAAGAATGAGTGAAATTGCAGAGTCTGCTATTCCTTTTCCACATAGAAAAGGGAACAAATATAAAATTCAGTACTTGGTTTATTGGGAGGAAAAAGGGATCGAAGCATCCCAAAAGCATATTGGTTGGATTAGAAATCTGTACAGCTACATGACTCCTTATGTTTCTAAGTCCCCAAGGGAAGCATATCTCAATTATAGGGATCTTGATTTGGGCACCAACAATATTGGCAATACGAGCTACTTGCAAGCTAGTGTTTGGGGTCATAAGTATTTCAAGAATAACTTCCAAAGGCTAATAGATGTGAAGACCAAGGTTGATCCAAGTAATTTCTTTAGAAATGAGCAGAGCATCCCAGTCAAGGAATAGAGTATGGATCCCTCTGTTCAAATGAAGAAGAAGAAGAATAGATTTTGTCTGAAAGTTTCTTACCCAACCTGAGCTTGTCTTCTCCTGCACTTAGTATAATAGTATTAGAATTCCAACAACTGCCTTTTGAAAACGAAAAAGAAATATCAGTGTTTATTGTTTTTTTTTTTTTTTGGGTGGGGTTTAAAAGAATGTCAAGGGAAGTTCTTAGTTTAGGCCCTACAAATGTGTAGCAGATGATATATGAATATATAAATATGGCAGTTTATAGTATACATACAACACTATTTTCTTTTTGATTTACAGGTATGTTTATAACAAAGTTTAAATTAATTCCATAAACCCATGTTGTCTTTAATAATTTATTCATAAATCATGATCATCATCATCCAAGCYTTATCCCGACCATACGGCATTGGATACATGAATCCTGTTTTGACATTCCGTTCTGTTTAATGCCATACTCATTATTGTTTAAATTATGAACACTTATCATTTCTTATTACTTTGATCCATGTCCTTGGCCTATTTTTGTTTTTTCTAACTCCTTCAACTTGCAACATTTCACTTCTTAGGGGGGTGCTGTGGATGGTCTTGACCAAAACGTATATAAGATTCATTACTTCTTACTCCTGAATCTGTATATCTGGGAACCTAATAGCATTAGCCTGCTTTCCGATCTGATCACAGGCCTGATTTGGAGCTGGGAAATCTTAATTGTCATGATGTGAGACTCAACCTTACACAACTTATGTAACCCTAACAACAACGTGACCAAGAGGGGAATTATTTTAAGACTTAAGTAACACTAATACGTTATGTATATGAGTTACAGATGGATGAGTGTCCTGTGTCTGAGAATACAGGACCCATAGATGGGTCTGGATGGACTATGGAATTACATGGTGTTTGGAAGTATGAGCGCTTTTTGGGACCGATTTTTAAGAAAAAACGTCCATGCTTCCAAGACCCGTTTTTTACAAAAAAACAATTCTGCCACGTAGG